GTGATACCAGCCTGTAATGAGACCTATTGCCTGAAGCATTAAGTCCAAAGGACTTCATGAGGGGAAGTTTGCCCCTTCTGTTTTGCTGCCAATCTTCTTTCCAATCTTAAGCATGTGTAAATGACAGTGGAAAAAGACAGCGGGCTCTTTCCATTTCCTAATTTTGGAGCTCTTAGGAAACAACTTTTTCTTTGCCTGAAGCCCTATGCCTACTTTATACCCACTTCCTTAGTTCCACATTCTTTCCTACTTAAAGAGGTGGACTGAAATCCATCAAGGAAGCAAGAAAACACACATCCCTATGCTTGTTTTATGACAGACATGTTCACATTGTTAATTCAAAACCCCGTGTTTCTTCTGTACTGCAGCAGCAGCTCACCACACTGAGGAATTATAATCTCTGATTGAGAGAACATTAGGTTTAAGTAGCAGTATGCCCAACAACATGGAGTAGCATGATCTCTAATTGGAGGAAGACTCATTTAAAGCACTGGAGCCTACACAAGAAACATAGCAGACCAAAACAGAAAGTAATCTGGAACCTGAACACTTTCCTTGCTAGTGCCAAATACTGCAAAGGTAAAACTGATTTTTAAACCAAACCAAGATCCACAAGTGACGCCACTAACCACACAAGAAAACGCACTAGAGTTGTGGTATAAACATTGTTCAGTGAGACAGCATGACACAGCTGGGGGAGGAATAAGAGACCTGTGTTTTTAATCTCAGACAGCTACTACAACACCCCACCCACCTTCAGTCTACACGGCCATGTCTTTTCTTAGGAGAACAGAAATCTAAACAACTGCCGGTTAGGTGGCTAGTACAGGAGGCACATTTACTTATCACAGCCAGAATCTGCCGGTATCTGGCTGGAGGCTGGTGTAATATCCCACCGTGGTGACCACATTTAGCTCAGAGTCTTTTCAAAAGTGTCACATGTGCTACCATCAATCAAATCTGCAGGGTTGTTGTACCCTGTGAAAATCATAAGACATACTATGCAAATGAACTGAGGAGTGTGTGGTGATAGCACAAGGGATTACCCACGCAGGGAGGAACGTACAGGCATAATTAAATAAGCATGAATAGTGATGTATACTCTGAACCCTAGGATGTGTTTACTTGGTTTTTACTTCTTAAACTAACAAACTTTTGGTACAGTCACTACATTTCCTAACTAAACATGACACTTCTTCCTAGGATAAATTCAGGTACTCAAACCGTTATGTCATGTTCCAGGGCTCTTTATGGAAATGCTCTTTTCAATTTAAAACCATTGGTGCCATTTGTGCTTGCAAATGCCTATACAGTCATGTGAAAAAATTAGG